CACTTTGGGGCGATAGGTCCTTCGTGTACGCCCTGTCTCCCTTGTTGCTTACCCTCCCCTTTGTCGCGCCTGACTCTGAATTTCCATCATTGTTTCAACCTGTCGTTTGATCTCAGTGTGCCGTCGTCTTTTCCCCTTTGGGCCCCACGTGGGTCGATAGGGCCTTCCTGTACGGCATTCTCCGTTGTTGCTTACCATCCCTTGTCTGCGCCCTGACTTGAATTTCCTGATGTCACGTCCGAATGTCATTTGTCCTCTCTAATCTGTTTCAGGCTTTGCAGTTTCTCTTCTAAGCACTGTATCAGTTCGCTGCTAAGGCCTTATTCCACTTCCTGCACTCTTCAGCTACCCTCCTCCATTTTCTTTCCAAGTTCTACTATCTTCCTTCCCCACTCTTCCTCCCTTTTTTGGAGCTCTAACTCCAGTCTTTCCTCCCTGGTTCTTCAAAAGATCTCTGGTTTTCCGTCCTCTAAGGCCACCCCTATTTTTTTTTTTTTTTTTTTTTTTTTTTTTTTTTTTTTTTTAGGGAGGGGAGAGAGAGGAGGGGAGAGAGAGGGGAAGAGAGAGAGGGAGGGGAAGAGGGAGAGGGGGAGAGAGGGAGAGAGAGAGGGAGGAGAGAGGGAGAGAGGGAGAGAGCGAGGGGAGAGAGAGAGGGAGAGGGGAGAGGGAGAGAGAGAGGGAGAGGGAAGAGTGAGGGAGAGAGAGAGAGGAGAGTGAGGGAGAGGGGAGAGGGAGAGAAGGAGGGAGAGAGAGAGGGGAGGAGGGAGAGAGAGAGAGGGAGAGAGAGAGGGGGAGGGGAGAGGGAGAGAGAGAGAGAGAGAGAGGAGGGAGGAGAGAGGGGAGAGAGAGAGGGAGAGAAGGAGGAGAGAGGGGAAGGAGAGAGGGAGGGGAGAGAGAGAAAAGAGAGGGGAGAGTGGGAGAGAGAGAGAGAGAGAGGGAGAGAAGGAGGGGAGAGAGAGAGGGAGAGAGAGAGGGAGAGAGGAGGGAGAGAGAGAGGGAGAGAGAGAGAGGGAGAGAGAGAGAGAGGGGAGAGAGAGAGAGGGAGAGAGAGAGAGAGGGAGAGAGACGAGGGGAGAGAGAGGGAGAGGAGAAGAGAGAGGGGGGAGGGGGAGGGGAGGGGGAGAGGGAGAGAGAGAGAGAGAGAGAGAGAGAGAGAGAGAGAGAGAGAGAGGAGAGCGGCGAGAGAGAGAGAGAGCGGGGAGAGAGAGAGAGGGAGGAGAGAGAGAAGAGAGGGAGAGAGGGAGAGGAGAAGAGAGAGCGGGTGAGAGAGAGAGGGGAGAGAGAGAGAGAGAGGAGCGAGAGAGGAGAGGAGGGAGAGAGAGCAGAGGGGAGAGAGAGGGAGAGATGGCGAGGGAGGAGAGAGAGAGAGAGAGGAGGGAGAGGGGAGGGGAGAGGGGGAGAGGGAGGGAAGAGAGAGATGAGCAAGGAGAAGAGAGAGAGAGAGAGAGGGAAGAGGGGAGAGAGAGAGGAGGAAGAGAGAGGGAGAGAGAGAGGGAGAGAGGAGAAAAGGGGGAGAAGGAGAGAGGAGGAGAGAGGGGAGAGTGAGAGGGAAAGGGGAAGAGAGGGAGAGAGAGGGAGAGGGGGAGAGAGGGAGAGAGAGGGAGAGAGAGGGAGAGAGAGGGAGAGAGGGGGGAGGAGGAGAGGGAGAGAGAGGGAGAGGAGAGGGGAGAGAGGGGAGAGAGGGGGAGGAGGAGAGAGAGAGAGAGAGAGGAGGGGGAGAGAGAGGGGAGAGAGGGAGAGAGAGAGGGGAGAAGAGAGAGAGAGAGGAGAGAGAGAGAGGAGAGGAGAGAGAGAGAGAGAGAGAGAGTGAGTGAGTGAGTGATCGAGTAGGGGGAGGGAGGGAGCGAGGGAAGAAAAAGTAGGGAGTGAGGGTCTGTGGGGGGTCTGTGGGTGGGGCGGTCAGATTCCAAGGATCAGCTGTGTGTACTCGCCTAGATGTGGTTTCAGGGGTCGAGACCCAGCTCCCGGCCCGCAGTGTGTATGTGTGTGCGCGCGTTCGTGTGTGTGTGTGGGCACGTCAGTTGTTTATATGTCCCAGAACTACAACTCACTTCTGTGTACCCGTAATACTAATGAGATACCATTAACACTGAGAGTAGTTCTAATAATTATAATACTAGCGTGTGTTAACAAGTCACTCTTTCACTACCTTTTTACTACATGTGTACCCAATACTTGCTTCTCAGATTGTACTGTCTTTGTGTGTGTGTGTGTGTGTGTGTGTGTGTGTGTGTGTACTCACCTATTTGTACTCACCTATTTGTGGTTGCAGGGGTCGAGTCTTAGCTCCTGGCCCCGCCTCTTCACCGGTTGCTACTGGGCCCTCTCTCTCCCCGCTCCATGAGCTTTATCAAACCTCGTCTTAAAACTGTGTATGGTTCCTGCCTCCACTACGTCATTTTCTAGGCTATTCCACTCTGTGTGTGTGTGTGTGTGTGTGAGTGTGTGTGTGTGTGTGTGTGTGTGTGTGTGTGTGTGTGTGTTTTTATTTTGTGTTCTGTGCCCTGTTCCTGCAAGAGAGAGAGACAGAGTTTTTTTTACTGCCAGTCATGGTCGAGGACGACCATAGTGGTGCGTGGTCGAGCGAATGTAGACAGCCTGTACTATCTGCATAGACAGCCTATGCTGTCTGCCAGCTGAGTTCATATTTCGCGCCATGCTCGCGCTGCCACCTGTAGGCCTCTCAGTGGGCATGCCACTTGTTATGGTATCACCCTGCCTCTCTCTCACTCGGCGCCAATCCTTCACACAGTCAACAAGGCCTACTCCTCTCTCCGTCGCTTACAGGGCCCCTCCGGGGCTAGGGCACCAACACACTGCCTGTGTACCCAGATTCCGCAAATAAAGAAGCCTCCGAAGCCTTATCATTACTCCCTGTTACAAAGAACGACACAAATAACCATTTTAGTAAACAGTGTGTCTTCCACTTAACAAGTGTATCTGCCGCTTAACAACAGTGTATCTGTCACTTATTAACAGTGTATCTTCCACTTAACAACAGTGTATCTGCCACTTAACAACAATGTGTCTGCCACTTAACAACAGTGTGTCTGACACTTAACAACAGTGTGTCTGACACTTAACAACAGTGTGTCTGACACTTAACAACAGTGTGTCTGACACTTAACAACAGTGTGTCTGACACTTAACAACAGTGTGTCTGACACTTAACAACAGTGTGTCTGACACTTAACAACAGTGTATCTGCCACTTAACAACAATGTGTCTGCCACTTAACAACAGTGTGTCTGAAACTTAACAACAGTGTGTCTGACACTTAACAACAGTGTGTCTGACACTTAACAACAGTGTGTCTGACACTTAACAACAGTGTGTCTGACACTTAACAACAGTGTGTCTGACACTTAACAACAGTGTGTCTGACACTTAACAACAGTGTGTCTGACACTTAACAACAGTGTGTCTGACACTTAACAACAGTGTGTCTGACACTTAACAACAGTGTGTCTGCCACTTATTGACAATGTGTCTCTTACGTATTGACTCGAAAATAAATGTCGCGTCCTGTGTTTTTTTTTTTTTGCATTTTTTAACATTGCTGTTATTAACTTTAACTTTTTTTTTTATCTCTCCATGAAGTATTTTTTATTTACATTTGATTGTAATGGTTTTCGAAATAATGGTTGATTGAATTTAAAGTCTATCGACTAGACGAGAGTCATTAAGGCTGAATATAACGTGTTTACAACCAGTCAACATTACTGTAATATACATATTCATGTATACACTGAGAGACATACACTTCTTGGTGTACATGACTTCAATTATTTTCAGAATAGACTTGATTTCTTGATATGTGCACGGCATGAACTACTTTTCCGCAAAAATTAAATCACCATTAGTATTTCTGAAAATAATTAAGGATATATACTCCAAGTAATATATATATATATATATATATATATATATATATATATATATATATATATATTATATATATATATTATATATAATATTATATATATATTATATATTATATTATATTATATATATATATTATATATATTATATATATATATATATATATATATATATATATATATATATATATATATATATATATATATATATATATATATATATATATATATATATATATAAATGCTGCTCGTGAGGCTAGTACACCAAACAGGGATGAGAATATATATATATATATATATATATATATATATATATATATATATATATATATATATATATATATATATATATAATAATGGTATACAAGACCGACAGGTTGGTAAGTAAGACACATAGGCAACATTTCGAATTAAAGATGCCTAACTCTTGCCTATGTGTCTTACTATATATCATTTACCAAACTGCGGCAGGCCAGGATTCAGCCCCACGACACATTGTCCCACCTCAAGAGACAACACAACGTACGTGTCACCCTATCCACTATGCCATCGATCCTACAAACAACCTGAGCCTAGCGAACTAGACTTGTTTCATGTTGCGAGGACACTCGTGGCAGTGGATGTTCAAGGATTAATTTCAGGCTCTTCTTCACTCCTAAGAGATGTTATACCTCCCTTGCCAATGCATGAAATTACTGCCTCCCTCTCTTCATTCAAATTTAACAGTTCCTCAACATATTTCCGCCATCTTCCCAATACCTCCGACTCCCCATCTGCTAACTTCCCTATTCTGTTTTTATCTGCCAAGCCCATTTGTTCCCTAGGCTTTCTTAACCTATTTATCTCACTCCAAAAAAATTTCTAATTTTCAGCAAAATATGTTGACAGCGCCTCATTCACTTTATCGTTTGTTCTCCTTTTACACTCTATCACCACTCTTTTCACCTCTCTTTTACTCTCCATATACTCCATCCTTTTTATACTACTTATGCTTTGTAAAAACCTCTCATAAGCGACCTTTTTTTCTTTTGTCATGCCCTTTACCTTATCATTCCACCAATTATTTACACACTCACATCCCTAAAACATGGCTCATTATATTATGTTGGTACAATACAGGCCACATCGAGAACTTCCAAGCAGTCAGTGGTGACGGGCAAATAGTACTGGAATGGGATTATGTGGCTGGCGACTCTTCCTACACGCTTCACAAATACAGACTCATCACAGACGGCGACTCCAGCAGTGATATACCATGCCGCGACAGTCACTGCTCCTTCACTGCCGTATACATGGAAGCTTGCAAGGAACACACTTTCGAACTCATCCCCATCTTCGATGACTTGACGAACGGCGGTACAGTGGAAGGAGACTCAGTGACGATTACTGGGTACACGATCGATGAGGGTGAGTCTTATATTGTTTCGAGGTTCCATTTAATGTTTGAAGGCTTGGTAGATACGAGACAACAGTAGTGAAAAAGTGCCTTTTTTCATCATTTTCAGGTCCATTGTAGGGATGAATAGAGATGTAGGCAGAGTGGATTTTTATATTTCTGGACTCTTACCAGTGGCCAATTGTATAAAGTATATTTGCGTCAAAATTTCCCTAATTTATTCAGTCACAAGCTCATCATTAATCCACTTAGAAGATGCTCTGACTTACCCGCAGAAGTAAGTGCTCCCAGCAATCTGAGGATTGTATCTGAGAACGACTCCGGGACGACCCTTCAATGGAATGCTCCCGCTGAGAACCCAATTTGCGCCAAGTCCTATGAGGTGTGCTCAAGGCTCGATGGCTCCCAGGAAAGTCAGTGTCAGACGGTAAGTGTCAGCGGTAGATGATTGTGAGGATAGTGTCAAACGTTGAGTGTTGGTGGTAGGTGGTTGTGGAGGAGTGTCAGACAGTGAGAAGTGCATTTGTGAAAATCTTTTGCCTTGCTAGTAGGGACTGATACCTCAAAATTAACTCTCCACGCTTCTACTGTCCCCAGTATTGTAAACATACCTGTAACTGATTCATTCTGTTGTCAGGTGAGTGACACGACCGTCATGATGACTTCCCTACAAGCTTGCGGCAAGTACCACGTCACCGTGACACCAGTCACTCCCTCCGGTGCTGAGGGAACCGCCCTGGAGGATACCATTGAGACAGAGTTGGGAGGTAAGTAGTAGGACACTTTACTTCCTGAAATAACAATTATACTAGTTGAATATATTTTTTTTCGAAATGTCATAAAATGATGATGTACGATGCTTCGTACATCTTTTGTTTTCTAAAAAAAATATTTATAATGAAGGGAAGACGGTAGAAGTGCAACACCTCAGTTTTCTGAAAGATTTTTGATAATGTAATATAAAGACGTCCTTCAAAAATAAAAGGTAATGTTACAGATGGTTTTTCACAGCTGGTTATCCTCTCGCACAAATTTATTAGAATAGATGGATTTTACAAGTGGTTCGTCACAAGGGTTAAAGCCGGTTCTAATTATATTTTTCATGTATATAAAATAGCCTCACTAATGAGTAATAACGTACAGTTCATTAAGTTGACAGTCAGCTCTTAGAACTGGGCAGAGGACAAACAGAACGTACCAGCAGGTATCGAAAGAAAATGAATAAAACAAATAAATTATTCTATGAACACTATAGACTCCGAGGCAAGGATCCCCAACCTGTGGCCCACGGGCCGCATGTGGCCCACGGGCCGCATGTGGCACTCATAGGAAATGGATGCTGCCATCACATGAAATTATTAATTCTCTTTTATGTAGGTTCCATACTGCCCAGTATCAACAATTACAAAATATTTAAAAGCCATTTTACACCAAAACCTTATGGCCACCTCTAACAACCGCCTCTCACTTCTGGCTAGTGCCAGGTTATCCTGGGAGATGTAAATTGTTATTGTTATTATAACGTGGGTTACGTTAGTTGCTACGTTGATTCATCTTGTGTTTCAAGGTGCGACCCTCATCACACATTTGACCATCAGCTGTGGCCCACATGTGTAGGAACGTTGAAGACCACTACCATAGAGCTAATGTAAACAGATGAAGAACAAAAAAGAGTAACCTAGACAAATTTGTAATGCAAAGTTTAGGCCTGAAACCAAATCAAGATTACCTTAATTTTTAAAGAGGTGGATGGGTAAGCCAGAAGGAGGCCTCGGTCAGATGACCACACGCTCTGTTGGTGGGTCATCGCATCAGGAAACACTTGTCCTGTTTCCTGACGAATCTTACCTAACCTAACTACAAGATTTACTGGGACAAGTAAGATATATTATTTCAGTTCAGACAGTTGACATTATCACTAATGTCAACTCTGTCCTGGGCTGTTGCAGGAATCACCAGGTAACAAAAGAAATCCCTTCAGAAGACAGCTCGTTAGCTGCCCAAACAACATTTATTCCATATAAAGTAGTAAGATCGAATAGAATTAACCCGAAATGGATAATAATAGGTTCAAACAACTTTTAGGACAGAAGAAAGGAATTTAAGAACATACCTGTCTTCTAGACAGGTATGTCCTGCTGTATTTTAATTTAATATGAACAAACAGTGGTGCGCCATTTAGCACAAACAAGGCTGTTTTACTTTCCCTGTGCACTTTTGTACATAGGCCTATTTTTGTTTAATATGTTCGTCAGTTTTAACATCTATGTTACAAAATAGAATTACAATAAAATACCCGATTTTTATTATTGTCGCCGATGTAAAAAAAAATTGGTTATATTTTTTTGGTTATAGATGTTTCTTCGATATTTAGAAGTGCTTGATTCAGACTTACAATTTATAAAAAGAATTTGGTCTTTATTAATTATGTTGGATATATATATATATATATATATATATATATATATATATATATATATATTATATATATATATATATATATATATATATATATATATATATATATATATATATATATATATATATATATATTATAACATTTCCATACTTTATTAATGAGAGATGTTCAATGAAATACTCACTGAAAGGTTTTGAAAGTGACTCATCAATGTCTTGATGTGTCGTCAATATGACTTCTTTGGAAGGAAGTCCCATGTCAAATGCTGTATTCTAATTTACTCTTTATTTCCATCCTGGACAATGAAATAAAAATTTCCTGTGAAACTCAAAGTAAAAGTAAAAACATGATCTTAGAATTTCACGATAATTTGATAACTAGTCTTATTTTATGACAACGGAATAACCCCGGTTAGCAGTGGTCTTCCCTAGTGCACAGGTCCCTAACATGAGCCCCTGGGCAGGGATCCAGACCCTCGCTGGCAGGTCGTGGACCTACCACGACCATCTGACAAAAGAAAAATTCAGACAAATAAAAAACTCATAAAACATCTATAAACAGAAAAAAAAGAGAAGGCGAGGGACAGCTTCTTCACCTCGACACATTTGCTGCAACTGTTCTACTTATTTAAAAAAAAGAGAGCTTTTGTTAATTACTAAAACACCATTAGTGAAATATTGATAACAATGTCAAGGCACGAGTGTGTGTGTAAATTATTAGTAATAAGTATACTTGAAGCAATAATTCTGTGGATTCTGGTGCACAGCTCCTGGGCCGCCCGTAGACGTTGTGGTTGGACTCATCACCAAGACAACCATCGAGATTATGTGGAACGACCCAGACATCAACCCACTCTGCGTGAAGGAGTAAGTCACTTGTATGGAGGGAGGATATCCTGGTGTTTCATGTCCTTAGGTGAACCATCAGGGATCCCTCTCAATAGTCTACTGTGTAGGCGAAACGTTTCATCAATAAAGACACCCAACTGTTGCACATATGTCTTAATCTTCAGCATGTCAGTATTTTATACCATTTTCAACAATACTAGGGGACACTTTCGGGTAATTTGCGAGGACGGACGTCTTATCATAGATAGTTCACTATCAGTATGGTAATTTGCTAGTAAAACTTCAGAATCGTGCCTTGTTAAATAGTGTGAACTATCAAATACCTCCTCACAATCAAGCAGTCTGTTCTTGTACTCAAGTAAACCGTTAAGAACTTGATTATATACTGTACAGTTGAGCTTTCAAAGACAGTAGGATCCAGCGCTACTCCTTGAGTATAACATCAATTTTACCAGGACCAACGCTGGTGATTAAAAAAAAAGCATATGCAACACTTGGGTATTTTTATATAGCGGGCCTCTTCAGTACTTGTCTATACGGTATACCATCAATAATATAATAGCCTAGAGCTAACTTTCCCTAAGTAATTCGTCATTCTAGCACAGTTATTTTACCTCACCATCTGAATATCCCTGACTCATGTAATTTTGTTTGTAGCTACGCCATCACTTACGGTGCCATCACGACCCGGGTCGGCCGCAGTGCTCCCCGGGCCGAGGAAGACTACGACAACCGTGCCACCATAAGTCCCCTCGACGCATGTACCAACTACTCCATCGAAGTTGTGTCCGTGGGCGAAGGCGGCCTCAGCAGCGCTCCGGTCACCAAGTACGCTGCTACCGATGACACTGGTAAGAAACCGTCTCTACACGTAGTCCGGAAATTTATCAGCCTCCATAAAGTGATGAAAACTTTGAAGAACATGAGGATGAAGAATGAGTTACTTGTGCAACATTTGGAAATCTTTAATGAGGAAAAGTTAAGCCAGGGCTTAACCCAGCAGCTGAGGCGATCGTGGGATAGAGCTGGAGAGATCAGGACTTGGCTGAGGATGTGGACGACGTGGGCAACCTGTGTAGGCTGCATCAAGGTGGTTGATCTGTAGATCTGGTCGGCGATTGGTTGCTAGAGATCGGCGGGAAGCGGGGTGGAGAGGGAGGCATGCTTCAATATAATTGGTCGTTAAGTATGCAGAGAGGAGACAGGATCAGCGTTGATTAGTGGATAACTCTTCATATCTGCGTTTTGTTAGTTTTTCGTTCCTGTCGTTGAGCTATTTTGAAGTCTGAAGTTTGAGCAGACTTTTGCTGTCTTTTTCTAAGTCTGCAATTAGGGCAGTTTCAGTGTGGGGATCGCAGCCAGGAGCAACAGTGTACTTGATACTACCATGGTGCATGGAATAGATGACCTGAAATGCATATAGCGACGGGGTGTGAGGGTTATATGTATTGAAGGTGAGGGGTTCAGTTGGCCTAAATATTGTTTCCTCTTCCATTTCTTCAGGTCTTTGAGTATCTTGAGGTGGATTTTCAGGAGGGAGTGTCTTAGCTTTCTTGGCTTTTGGTGGTTGAGTTGGAGATGAAGCAGGTGGTTCGTTAGTAGTAGCAGAAGAGGTGGAAGACTTAGGTTGTTGTTGTTAAAAATTCGCCGGTATTTTCTCGGCCCGGGCCTTTTCCAAGTGGTGGCCCGGCACTGGCTCCCTGTCTAGGGAGTGTCTGAGACCTAAATCTTCCATGGGAGGAGGCACAAGTACCCCCTCATCTTGTGAGCTACAAGCTCGGGCTCAGGCACCAACCCTGCCCTAGAAGGGCTGGGCATGGTGTCAATCGTACTCCTCATCTCCGGGACCAACTGTCCCCAGGCCTAGCCACATTCCCCGCCCTCACGGGGCTCGTAGGGAGAAGTTAGGCCTCTCTGGTCTGCCATCCCCGTCCCAAGGGGGCTAATGGGAATGACAGTCTTGTGAGCTGAAAGCTCTGGCTCAGGCACCTACCCTGCCCTAGAAGGGCTGGGCATTGTGTCGATGCTTCCGCTGGCTGAAGACTTAGGTGATTGGTCCACAGCGGTGGTGATGTTGGAAGTCGCTGACTGATTGTTTCTTGGAGATGGAATTTCAGGTGTTGTGATGTTGCCTAATTCTTTGGTGAGCTTGATGATGTCGGCAGATGGTGGAGAATCTGGGAAAGTAAAGTTTGGCATGTTGTTCAATCGGAAGAGCTCGTTAATAACAGTGTTGAAGGAGCTTGGTAACGCCATATTATGCATGTGTGCATATAGCATACAGTAATGAATTTTCGTAGGTTCATAAGCTGATGGAGTAGTGGTGGAGGGTTGGGTAGCTTTTAAAAGTTTTGTTGTGTCGGCCTGGAGTTTGGTGATCGCAGCGTAAGTAGGTGACTTGGAAGGTGTCTTCTGTTCTGCTTCCTGGCTTTTTTTTTTTCAGAATTTCTCGACGAGTGGGGCACTTTGCAGCGAGAGTATGGTGATTGTTTTTGCAGTTGAGACACTTAAGTGGGGCAGTAGAAGTACAAATCTTGGAATCGTGGCCTTCAGACCCGCAGGTAGAGCAGAACTTTCTGTCTTTTGTGGGGCAGTCTTTTGTAGAGTGTACTGAGTGCACTGAGTAATATGATGGTACCGCTCAGCTTCAATATGACTGGAGTTAATGAAGTAACAGTATAAGTCCAGGCCTTCAGCCACAGCTTGGGCAGCCATTGTCACATCAGTAAAAGTGATTTTCAGCATGGAGGAGGCAGTAGGAATCTTGGTGATGCTTTCAACTGTAGCCCAGGGATTTTGTTCTTCTATGGAGGTCTTTAGTCTTCAACAGGTTGTATTGTAATCAGTTTGTCAAGTCTCTTCAAGAGGACAGTCCTCTTAGCCCGTAAGGCAGTAGAGGACATGACTTTGAAGCCACGGTCTGATAGAGTAGATAAAGCAGAGGTCAGTAGTTTTTCAGCCTCAACATCGTCTTAACAGACAATAATGAAGGCTTCTTGGAGTGAGAGGATGGTATTAAGTTTGACCTGTAGACCCCTGACTGCCACAGCAAGGGCAAGCTTGGTGGAGTCATTGATCGTACCACTAGATGGTTTTATCTTGACTCTGTTGGAGAAGCTCATCTTGGGACAGGTTGTCGACACTGTAGAATATCAAACATACAAAGGTTAAAAGACAGTATGTATAGGTGGAGAGTGAGGTGTGTGACACATGGTGACCTGAAGAATGCCATATTATGATGACGGGTAGACAGTGGGATCATGTGACTCCTGCGTCAATATAGATGGTGCTTTGCCTGGTTGATCATCATGTATGCTAATGTTTTCGAAATTTTTGTAGTTTCCAGTGTTATGTTCTATGGTGTCGGTGAGTGTGATTAGCAAGGCTTTCATATATCGTCGGCGTCTAAGATCTTGTTCAGTGAGGACAAGCTGTGTCTCATCCCAATTCATCAAATGTCTCGTGGAGTCCCTGTGGAGGACACAGGCGTATCTTAAGTCGTCTCTGTTACTAGCGTTTCGATGTTCGTTCAAGCAGACCGAGAGATTTCTGCCTGTTTCCCATTCATATTTCCTGGGACAGTATCCACAGGGGATGGTGTAGACGTCCGCTGTAAAAGATAGAGGTGTGGGGCTACAGTCTGTAATCTTTGGCTTCCTGGCAGGAGCCTAAAGATTACAGACGGCGTTGTCGCTTATGAGATGCATCAGATGCACTGTCCAGAATAATGCTTGAGCAGTACATGCTGCAACATTGCAGAACCCATTCTCCTTCGGGAGCCAGAGACGGGTCATCGCAAGATTAAGACCCGTACCAGGACACCTGTCTTGACGAAGATTATACATAGAACATACTCTGTATATTAGAAGTGATCAAGGTCCCAAGACCGAAACGTTTTCTGATAAATATGTCGTAGTGTTTACTCACATGAGGGAGGTAACACGTAAAGAGCTGTCCAGTGACTAAACTAATAATACTCAAGTACTCAAGATTTATCATGATTGTATCTCTTTAGAACATATACCAAACACTTGCGGGTTATTAAGTGTTGTTCTATATCAATACAGGTCGAGGAGCTTAAGGATGAGCTTTGACATGTACTCTAAATAAATATTTTTACTTATAATTAAGAATTAAGCAAAATTTACATGTGTACAACCACTCATTTAATAAATGGTCCCAAATGAATATCTGATCTGGCTAATTGTTAATTCATCTGGATGCGCTACACCCATCAGGGTCATACAGCTAAGGGTAAATGGGAGGTAATCAGATTTGATTTGAGGAAAGGGAGGTGACTGCTCCAAATCTTGGGATCAAGAGCCCTTTAGCAGTACCGAGGCACCTTCCTTGAAGGGCATAGTAAGTCTGCTACAGTGGTTATTTTGTTTTATTTTCATGTGAATCAATTAAGGAAAACTCACAAGTAACTTATGACGACATTTCGGTCTCTCCTGGACCATTGTCAAGTCACAGCTTGACAGTGTCACTTGACAATGGTTCCAGGAGGGACCGAGAGCTCGTCACACGTTACCTAAATACGGATTACTGGTAAATTCTAATGAGGTGTGTTTGACAGTGCCGCAGCCAGTTCCTTACATCGAGGTGGACCCAGCCAGCGAAGACTCCATTGTCGTACACTGGGGTAAGGACGAGAATGATCGATGCGCCGCCTCCTACATTATATGCTGGACCGACGGCATTCACCCACAGGATTACTGTGTCAACGTGTCTGACTCAAGCAGTGGCTATACCATCACCGACCTGCTGCCCTGCACCACCTACCAGGTCACCGTCACTGTCGCCAGCTCTAGTGGCCTCGATAGCGTCGTCGTCGGTAACAGTACAGCCACTTATGATGTCGGTGAGTAAAAGTGTTTTCGGTAGTGTCTACATCACACTTTTTTCTACCTACAGCCGCCCTCTCCTACTCACAGCCGCCCTCTCCTACTCACAGTTGCCCTCTCCTACTCGCAGTCACTCACTCCTGCCCACAACTACTCACAGCCGCGCCTTTTAACATTCGTAGTTACCTTTTTTTTTTGCAGTGAAATGTAATATAAGCGATTTGGCCTACATAATCTTTATAACAAACATGAAGTCATCCAAGTGTAAAGACTAACTTTAATATCATATTTTCTCAGCACCTGAACCAGTGAATAACTTGCAAGTAATAGAGTCTCACACTAACGAGCTGACTGTGACCTTCGAGCTGCCAGAGGTCAACAAGCAGTGCGTTGAGACGTATGACTTGCAGGTCACCGACCTCGACCAGTCGGGGCTGATGGCCTCACGCGCCACCGATTTCATTGAGACTTTCATCACGGGTCTTGAAGCCTGTACTAACTATCTCATCGAACTGCGTCTTCTCTCTCCCACTGGCAAGGCATCAGCTTGGAGGGAGGTTCGTAACAAGACCCAGGACGGCATACCTTCCTCGCCACGGGAGTTTGGACTGAATGGTGTGACCAAGGACTCCATCTCACTGGAATGGTTCCAGCCTGAGATAAACAAACGCTGTGCCAGCGAGTACATCATCACCTGGGAGGCCAGCGATGGAACCCGCGGTGGCCCACAAAATGTTATTGACCCGACAGAATTCAAAGTGATTTACACAGTTACAGGCCTGAAGGAGTGTACGGATTACACCTTCAGTCTTGTGGCCAAATCTAGCGTCGGCCAGAGTAACCCCACGGAATTTACATATACCACCCTCTGCAGCTAGGTTAAAGTGGCTGGCTCCCAGGGAGGTTCATCCGCACCACATCCAGTAATACTTCACTTGGTTTTCTTCAGCGTTTTCCCCATGACTGGGGTAATATCCCATGTCACTCCGAAGCCTCCCTCGGTTCTTTGGAAATTTCCAGTTACCAAAGACACTGGGAATCCATTCGTCAGGGGACGAATGGATTCGACAGTTGGAGGATCGAAAAATCATTATTTTTCAAAATATTTTCACATATTTGAAAGATTTTCAAACATTTTTAATTATTTATATTACTTATAGTTAAACACCATTTTCTGAGATCAAACTTGATTGCCTCCCATCCTCCAGAGTCTGTGTGAACTCTACTAGTTTAGTGCATCCCCGTTAAAATAATAATGATTGTCAACAATTATCACCAGAATTTATCAACTTCTCTGTCTGCTGAGGAAGACAACATATCAAAATGTGTCGCTGTAGTCAGAAATTACTGGTATTTAATGAAGGAATTTTAGGCTCCGGCTTTCGTTTCTTCTCAACAGGTCTATTTTTATATCTTAAACTATCTCTAGTTTGAGTTAGTGAGTAATATTTTCATTATGAAGTATGAACAAGGTTTGTCTCTCCCGGTAATGTTGAACAGGAAACAAAAATTTTAAATACAATATTCCTTTGAATGCAGTATTTTTTTCCATCTTCCTATTATTGCCATATGTCATCGTAGTAATTATAGGTAGATGGTGATGTAGTCATTATTGCCAGATGCTGACGTAGTCATTATTGCCAGTGATGACACACCCAATCTTGCTAGACACTCAGTGCCGGATTTACCTATAGAGGCTTGGCAGGCTGAAGCCTAGGGCCTCAAAATCTAGGAGGCCTCCGGCCAAGGTGTATAAAATTTTTGACACTGTCATAAGCCTTTCTTACAATGCTGTCATAATTCACTGTAGTCTCTAAACAACCCTTCAGTAATGTTCCTTTCTGTATTGATTTTTTTTCTTATTCGCCGGTACTCTCCCGGCCCGGGTCTTTTGTCCTTCCAGGAAAGCAGTGAGATAAGTTGACTGAGGACCCTCAGTCATTTGTACTCTGATGTTAATGAGAATGTTGATACCAGGCTTCAAGCTAACACTATTTTGCAGTATATGGAAGAACTGGGGTTTCTGTTTATGCTGCATTTTTGGACCCGTGTGCTGAGCCATTTTCACAAGGTCAGCAAAGTCATTCAGAAATCAGAACTCTTATTGAGTACTTGTGCATGTTTATACAGTTCACTTCAGGACTCTTAAGCAAAATTAGAGAAGATTTTGATGAGCAACTAGCAAAAGTCACCTTGCCAAATGTTAACTAAGAAACTGTCACAAGGACACACAGAGTAAGGAAACTGCAAGGAAATGATGGATGTGCCCCTGGTGTTGATGCCTTAGATGAACTCTCTTTAAGAGATAAGTTTATGATAAAATCCTTCATTCCTATACTAGATGCACTTGAAGCAATTTAAGAAGAGCTACTGTGTACAGTGATGTTGCACAATTGTTTTCCTTTCTTGCTAATCTGACAGCATCTTAGCAAGAAATTCATCAAGGTGTTGAACTGTTGACGGCAACATAACCCAGATGTTCACCTGAAAGTTGCTGATGAACTTTTGCATTTTCACCTGTGAGCCAAAGCCATAGGCCTACAAAAGAGCAGTCACTGTCTCATACAGACCTTTACCAAATTATATACAAGGAAAAAATTCAGATGCCCTTCCCTATTTCTTAGCTTAATGGGAACTACCTTCTCGGTAGAGAGGTCTTTTTCATGCCTCAGAAGAATTAAAAATGAACCAAGGGCCACAATATCTCAAGAGGGGTTGTCCACATAGCATTCTGTCCAGTGAAAATTTTGATGAACTTTTGGATGATTTTGCTGTGAGGAAGGCTAAAAACTTTTTTTGATGATTGTAGTTTTGTTATTTTTACTATGTATTTTAAAAGAATATACATGTATGTATTTTAAAGAATATAACATTAACTTACAATTTCATTTTCCTAAAATTAATCTTGCTTATTACACAAAATGTTTACAAAGTTCGGTTATTGCAAAAAGTTTTTTGGTGTTAATTTTAACATTTATGCCTTTTCTAACATTTTAACATTTGTTTCTTTTTTTCACTCACTGCATTATTTAACAGTAACATATATATGTATATATATATTCAGGGAAACCGGTTATTTTTATATAGTCGGACTTGAGTCCTGGAAATGGGAAGTACAATGCCTGCACTCTAAAGGAGGAGTTTGGGATATTGGCAGTTTGGAGGGATATGTTGTGTATCTTTATACGTATATACTTCTAAACTGTTGTATTCTGGGCACCTCTGCAAAAACAGTGATAATGTGTGAGTGTGGTGAAAGAGTTGAATGATGAAAGTATTTTCTTTTTGGGTCACCCTGCCTCGGTGGGAGACGGCAGACTTGTAATATATATATTATTATATATATATATATATATATATATATATATATATATATATATATATATATATATATATATATATATATATATATATATATATATATATATATTATATATATATAAGAAGAAGAAAATTGTCAAAGTGGGAAGTCTGAATGTGCGTGGATGTTGTGCAAATGATAAGAAAGAGATGATTGTGGATGTTATGAATGAGAAGAAACTGGATGTCCTGGCTTTAAGTGAAACAAAGCTGAAGGGGGTGGGAGAGTTTCAATGGAGAGGAATAAATGGGATTAGGTCAGGGGTTTCAAATAGAGTTAGAGCTAAAGAAGGAGTAGCAATAATGTTGAAGGATAAGCTATGGCAGGAAAAGAGGGACTACAAATGCATAAATTCAAGGATTATGTGGAGTAAAATAAAGATTGGATGTGAAAAGTGGGTTATAGTAAGCGTGTATGCACCTGGAGAAGAAAGAAGTGTAGAGGAGAGAGAGAGATTCTGGGAAATGTTGAGTGAATGCGGCGGGAGTTTTGAATCAAGTGTGAGAGTAATGGTGGTTGGGGATTTCAATGCTAAAGTGGGTAAAAATGTTATGGAGGGAGTAGTAGGTAAATTTGGGGTGCCAGGGGTAAATGTAAATGGGGAGCCTTTAATTGAGCTATGTGTAGAAAGAAATTTGGTAATAAGTAATACATATTTTATGAAAAAGAGGATAAATAAATATACAAGGTATGATGTAGCACGTAATGAAAGTAGTTTGTTAGATTATGTATTGGTGGATAAAAGGTTGATGGGTAGGCTCCAGGATGTACATGTTTATAGAGGGGCAACTGATATGTCAGATCATTATTTAGTTGTAGCTACAGTTAGAGTAAGAGGTAGATGGGAAAAGAGGAAGGTGGCAACAACAAGTAAGAGGGAGGTGAAAGTGTATAAACTAAGGGAGGAGGAAGTTCGGGCGAGATATAAGCGACTATTGGCAGAAAGGTGGGCTAGTGCAAAGATGAGTAGTGGGGGGGTTGAAGAGGGTTGGAATAGTTTTAAAAATGCAGTATTAGAATGTGGGGCAGAAGTTTGTGGTTATAGGAGGGTGGGGGCAGGTGGAAAGAGGAGTGATTGGTGGAATGATGAAGTAAAGGGTGTGATAAAAGAGAAAAAGGTAGCTTACGAGAGGTTTTTACAAAGCAGAAGTGTTATAAGAAGAGCAGAGTATATGGAGAGTAAAAGAAAGGTGAAGAGAGTGGTGAGAGAGTGCAAAAGGAGAGCAGATGAAAGAGTGGGAGAGGCACTGTCAAGAAATTTTAATGAAAATAAGAAAAAATTTTGGAGTTAAACAAGTTAAGAAAGCCTAGGGAAAGTATGGATTTGTCCGTTAAAAACAGAGTAGGGGAGTTAGTAGATGGGGAGAGGGAGGTATTAGGTAGATGGCGAGAATATTTTGAGGAACTTTTAAATGTTGAGGAAGAAAGGGAGGCGGTAATTTCATGCACTGGCCAGGGAGGTATACCATCTTTTAGGAGTGAAGAAGAGCAGATTGTAAGTGTGGTGGAGGTACGTGAGGCATTACGTAGAATGAAAGGGGGTAAAGCAGCTGGAACTGATGGGATCATGACAGAAATGTTAAAAGCAGGGGGGGATATAGTGTTGGAGTGGTTGGTACTTTTGTTTAATAAATGTATGAAAGAGGGGAAGGTACCTAGGGATTGGCGGAGAGCATGTATAGTCCCTTTATATAAAGGGAAAGGGGACAAAAGAGATTGTAAAAATTATAGAGGAATAAGTTTACTGAGTATACCAGGAAAAGTATACGGTAGAGTTATAATTGAAAGAATTAGAGGTAAGACAGAATGTAGAATTGCGGATGAGCAAGGAGGTTTCAGAGTGGGTAGAGGATGTGTAGATCAAGTGTTTACATTGAAGCATATATGTGAACAGTATTTAGATAAAGGTAGGGAAGTTTTTATTGCATTTATGGATTTAGAAAAGGCATATGATAGAGTGGATAGAGGAGCAATGTGGCAGATGTTGCAAGTTTATGGAAAAGGTGGTAAGTTACTAAATGCTGTAAAGAGCTTTTATGAGGATAGTGAGGCTCAGGTTAGGGTGTGTAGAAGAGAGGGAGAATACTTCCCGGTAAAAGTAGGTCTTAGACAGGGATGTGTAATGTCACCATGGTTGTTTAATATATTTATAGATGGGGTTGTAAAAGAAGTAAATGCTAGGGTGCTCGGGAGAGGGGTGGGATTAAATTATGGGGAATCAAATTCAAAATGGGAATTGACACAGTTACTTTTTGCTGATGATACTGTGCTTATGGAAGATTCTAAAGAAAAATTGCAAAGGTTAGTGGATGAGTTTGGGAATGTGTGTAAAGGTAGAAAGTTGAAAGTGAACATAGAAAAGAGTAAGGTGATGAGGGTATCAAATGATTTAGATAAAGAAAAAATGGATATCAAATTGGGGAGGAGGAGTATGGAAGAAGTGAATGTTTTCAGATACTTGGGAGTTGACGTGTCGGCGGATGGATTTATGAAGGATGAGGTTAATCATAGAATTGATGAGGGAAAAAAGGTGAGTGGTGCGTTGAGGTATATGTGGAGTCAAAAAACGTTATCTATGGAGGCAAAGAAGGGAATGTATGAAAGTATAGTAGTACCAACACTCTTATATGGATGTGAAGCTTGGGTGGTAAATGCAGCAGCGAGGAGACGGTTGGAGGCAGTGGAGATGTCCTGTCTAAGGGCAATGTGTGGTGTAAATATTATGCAGAAAATTCGGAGTGTGGAAATTAGGAGAAGGTGTGGAGTTAATAAAAGCATTAGTCAGAGGGCACAAGAGGGGTTGTTGAGGTGGTTTGGTCATTTAGAGAGAATGGATCAAAGTAGAATGACATGGAAAGCATATAAATCTATAGGGGAAGGAAAGAGGAGTAGGGGTAGTCCTCGAAAGGGTTGGAAAGAGGGGGTAAAGGAGGTTTTGTGGGCGAGGGGCTTGGACTTCCAGCAAGCGTGCATGAGCGTGTTAGATAGGAGTGAATGTAAACGAATGATACTTGGGACCTGACGATCTGTTGGAGTGTGAGCAGGGTAATATTTAGTGAAGGGATTCAGGGAAACCGGTTATTTTCATATAGTCGGACTTGAGTCCTGGAAATGGGAAGTACAATGCCTGCACTTTAAAGGAGGGGTTTGGGATACTGGCAGTTTGGAGGGATATGTTGTGTATCTTTATACGTATATGCTTCTAAACTGTTGTATTCTGAGCACCTCTGCAAAAGCAGTGATAATGT